CATGGCCTCAGGAAAGCCATCCTGGCAGCTCCCTGGCTCTGCTCACCCGGCTGGTCCCTTTTCCTCTGCTGGCTCCTTCCTTTACTTGACCTCAGGAGTGCCCCAGAGCTCTGGCCTCGCCCCCTCCTCTTCCCACGTGCTCCCCTCCGTGATCCCATCCACCCCCCAATTTAAATCCCAGCCCTGACATCTCTGTCACGCTTCAGGCTGGAGTATCCAGCCGCCTCCTGGACACCTTGCGTTTTTGTTTTGTTTTTTTAATTGGGTGGCTGGCGGGTGCCAGGAACTAAACGCTTGACCTTGGCTGCACTATAACCAGCTGAGCTACTCGGCCGGCCACCTCCTGTTTAATGTGACAAAGCAGAACACTTGCCAAAACCTGTTCTTCCCTGGTCATTTCCCCTCAGAAAATGGCGACTCCATTTACCAAGTGAAGCGGGCCCCAAACCCTGGTGTCGTCCTCTGTGGTCTTCTTTCACCACCACATCCCATCCATCAAGAAATCATGACTTCAATCTATTGCTTCTTGCCACCTCCACTGCTACCCCGCCCGAGCCTCTGCCCGCTGTCACCCCCTGTCACCTGGGCCCACCACCCTCCTGCAGTGCCCACACAGCCACCAGGGCCACCTTTAAAGACTGAATCAGGTCATGTTTCTTCTCTCAAACATCCCCAGGGAGGACAGAGGTTTTTACACACAGGTATGGACACCACAGTGCTCTCGTGGGAAGGTGCTCACAGCACCTTCTGTGAGGGGGCTTGTCCAGGAGGGCTCATCAAGGAAGATTCTGGAAGGAAGAGGCACGGAGCAGCTCAAGGCTCCATGAGGAAGTGGTACCATTTCAGAAGGTGGCGGGGAGGGCTTCTCTGCAGCGGGGGTGAGTGGACAAAGGCCTGAAGCTAGAGAAAGTCAAATTTGTGACGGAGCATGACTAACAGTTCCAATGTGCCCTGTAAGACGAGGGGAGTGTGTCGGTGCCAGACCGTGGGGCCTTCAAGGGCCGAAGAGCTCGGACTGTCTTTGTGAGTTAACCTGGAGCCACTGGAGATTCTGGAGCAGGAACAGGGCTGGACTGAGTTGGCCGCCACGTGGAGGGTGGAATGGACAAGGCAGGGCGGCTACACCTGAAGCCATGCTGGCCACTGAGGGATAATGGCCGGGTGTGAGCAGAAGGGACCACAGAGCAGAGAGAACCTACGACCAAGAGTTAAAACTGACAGGAAGGGCCGGCCCGGTGGCACACTGCTACAGTGCGCCGCTTGCGAAGCGCGGCAGCGCTCCCGCCGAGGGTTCGGATCCCACATACAGACCGGTTCCCACTCACTGGCTGAGCTAGGTGCAGGCGCGACACCGAGGGTTGCGATCCGTTGCCGGACACGAAAAAAGACAAAAAGGGAAAAGAAAAAAAAAAAAACTGACAGGAAGTTGTCTGGGAATGATGTCCCTGTCCTCTGCCAGGAAAGACTGAAATGGGCCCTTGGTGCTAGTACTGTAGCAGGAGCCACATGCCAGAGCTGGTGGAACCACAGGAGGGCACCTCACCCAGGGCAGCTAATGACTTCTATGGTGGCCTCGAATGAGGGCTTGTCCCCCCACAGACACCGAGAAAAGCTGGATCAAACAGCATCCTTCTCCTGAGAAGACTGAGAGCTGGTAAGTCAGTGGCGAGAGGAAAGGGAAGCCTGAGGAGCCCGCCTGAGAGCAGTGCAGTGCCAGGGACTTCAGGCTGTGGCGGGGGTGCCCAGCCCCAATGCTAAGGGTCAGGAGACGATCGGGCCTGGAGCTGCTCTTTCCTACTCTGCCATCCGGGTCCCGGGCTCCCAGGCAGCTGCACTGGTCCCTCCTTTCAGCAAGGCTGGGTCATGTGGTTTTTCCTGATCCTCAGAGACCTGATTCCCTCATTTCCTAGCACGTCCTTCCTGTACGGGCCCCCTCATTTTGGGAGCCTGAATGGGCCTCTGTCCCTTGCCACCAAAAGCTCCTAACCCAGTGTCTCCAGCCCTAAGGGACTGCCAAAGTCAAAACTCTTACCCCGCTGTGATAAATTGTTTTACCAAAGGCATCCAGTGAACAGCTACAAAACCTATTGCCCTGTGGGTTTGGATGGGGGACTTTCTTGATGTCAAAAATGAGAGTTTTTCAGCCAGGGCCCCTCAAATAGGATACTCTAAGACAGGGCTGGGAATTAGGGTAAGGTGAGTGAGGCATTTGCCTGGGCTCAGAGTTTAGGAGCGGTAGCTGGGCTTGTTCGAGATCCCCATACTGGCCAGCTGACAAAAAAAAAAAAAAAATTGAGGATAGTAGTCAAAAGAAATAATATTTAAATTCAATGTTTTTAAAAATTGATATTAAAACTAAAACATCCACAATGATGAAAAACTCAAATTTTAAACAAAGGCAGGCTTTGTTGTTTTGTGTTGTTTGTTTTAATGACCCTGCGTGGCTGTAGTGTCCCTGCAGGGTGGATTTATACAAGTTGACAAAGGGGAGCCAGTATCTTGGGCAATGTGGGGGGCTTTACATATAGTCTTTTTTTCTTTTTTTAAAAGATGACCGGTAAGGGGATCTTAACCCTTGACTTGGTGTTGTCAGCACCACGCTCACCCAGTGAGTGAACCGGCCATCTCTATATAGGGATTCGAACCTGTGGCCTTGGTGTTGTCAGCACCGCACTCTACCGAGTGAGCCACAGGCCGGCCCTCTTTTTTTTCTTTTTGAGTAGAGCATTTATTAACTTTTTCCGCTCGGTCAGTCTGTGGGAGGATATTTTCCTAAGTGTGCACAGGGCTGCACACTCAGGCTCCAGTACGGCTGTGCCTCCTTTCAAGTGGGAAGGGGAGCTGGCGGGTCAGCTCAGTTGATGAGAGCGCAGTGTTATAACACCAAGGTCAATGGTTCGGATCCTCATATGCCCAAAAAAGAAAAAGAAAAAGAATAATAAAGTGGGGGGGAGAGAGGTGGGGCCTCCCAAGGAAGAAGGGACGCGGCCCGCGGCGCAGGCTGCGGCCTCCTCGGCGAGGTTCTCTCCGCGGCCAGCAGGGGTCACTGTGGGGCCGCGCCGCCGGGAGCGCTGGTCGGGGAAGGAGCCGGAGCCTCTGCGCACCCCGCATTCCCGACACCCCACCGCTCACGGCCCGCACCGGCCAGGGGGAGCTGACCCAGTTGCTCAGCAATCCCGAGAGAAGGCTGACTCAGTGCAGAGCACAAAACAAAACCCCCAGCCACTGCTCCCTGACCTCGGCCTCCCGCTCCCGGCCTGCGGCCTGGCCAGCACAGCTGTCTGCAGTGGGACCTCGTTGGTCTGCTCCAGGCTGCAGCCCTAGCCCAGATCTGGGGTGACTGGCTAATTGCCACCGTCCTCTGTCCAGGGGTTGGGGAGTGGAGAGGACCTTTCTCAAGGGCCTTCTCACTGCAGAAGGACTCCGGGTTTTCCAGGCTCAGAAGCCCCTTCCCCACTCTCAAGCAGACTGGAGTGAGATGAGAAGGGCCTTTCCTCCCGGAGACTATCCCCCACCCCCGACCTCAGATGTTCCTTCTCCTCTGATAGTCCCTGAGGACCTCTGGTCTCGTGGCCCCCCTTCTGCTCTGGCTTTGGTTCGGCCTGAGCCCCCCAGGGGCCACGAGGCCCACCAGGACTTCGCAGGTCACCTGGGTTTCTTTCTTTCCTTTGCCCTTGGCCTCCTGACATTGCCCTTGTTCCTCTGCCTCCCTTCCTCTCTCCAGTCTGCCCCTTCTCTTTCAGGACTCCTGTCTCGGCGCACCCTCCCCCCTGTCAGGCTTGGCTGCCCAATGGCCTGACAGTCACTGTCCTGAGCACCTCTCTTGTCCCAGCACTGTGCTAAGCACTGTAGCACACATCTTCTTCCTGGCATCTGCCTTGTGAGACAGACTTCATGTTCACTCCAATTTTAAATTAGAAAATTTAAACTAGGACTGCAGCTCAGAAAGGCTGAGTAACTTGCCCAAGGTCACACAGTGCTAAGAGACTGAGCCTGAGCCCAGAGCCCGGCCCTCTGTCTTCCTGTGCTGCCTTCCTGGAAGGGCTTGGCCCACACTCTCTGCCCCGCACCCTGCTTCACTTCACACTCTTGGCCCGTATACTTGTCTTGCTTTCTAAGAGTGGCATTTATTTGTTCTTTGGATTTCTACCGAGTACCTCCACACTGCCAGGCCCAGGAGATGAAGGCACAGCCTGCATTCAAGTTCACGGACTGCGAGACAAGACTTTTCCTGTGTGTCAGCTGAGTCTTCCCAGGCAGCCCGAAGCCCTCCCAAGGGGCAGAGGCTGTTTCCTGCTTCTCCTGCAGCCCACCCGGGGGTGGTGACCTCCTGGTCCCTCCTTGGGGAGTTGATGCTGCTGACTGTTGCGTCCATTGTGGTGTGGGGGCTGGGCAGACCTGGCCCAGGCAGGCTGTGGGGTGCAGGACAGACGGCTTGGGATGGGGGTGTGGGGGTTGAAAGCTCAGGAAGGTATTGGGAGTTTAAGGCTGATGAGAGCGGGCTTCCTTTCTCAAATACCCTAGGGCTGATCACATGTATCTGGAGCAGCAGGGCCAGGCACTCAGTTCTCTCCACGTGGCATGTCCGCTGCTTAGGTCTAGAAGGTCAAGTTTCAATCCTTGTCTCTTTCACTAGAGCGCTGGGACAAACAGGGCCATTCTGTCTGGACATCTCTCCCTTGATCCCTTCCTCATGTATTCTATCCTTGCTAGGAGATTTCCAGAACAAAATCTTAAAAGTCCCTGACTTTTTGCCAAGGACAGACACCCCTCTGTTCCCCACAAATCCCAGCTGCTAGTTTCCAGACCTGTGTAACTGGGCCCCACAGCAATCTTAATGCCCCAATTTAGATAGGGGCCCAGGAGCAGCCAAGGCTGAAATATAGGTGAGGGGGTGCCCTTGGCAGGGGGCCCTTTCAGGAAAAAGGTCTGAGCCCAGATCTAAGGAAGGGAGCTGGCAAGGGCAGGAGGCAGGAAAAGAGCGAATGAGTGTGCACAGATACAGCAAGAATGGGTCTGTTTAATGACACAGCTGGGTTTGGTTACAAACATCAGAAACTACAAAAGGAGGACAGGCTGTTACATGGTGATTGCACGAGGATGGGACAGGAGGGGACACAGGCACAGTAGCCACAGCAGCAAAACATCCTTGAGGACAATACACGTGACCAAGGGTCACACATGGGGGTCCCCAGCAAGGCTGACACAGATGGATGGACAGGGCCGACTGCCAGCCAGGAGGAGGGGCGGGGAGGGGAAGGCCCTCGGCCCTCAGAGCTGAGGGGTGGGACAAAGGCATCAGTAAGAGCAGCCTGGGTCCCCCCAGGGCTGTCTCAGTGGCAAAGGCAGGTGGGGCTGGCATCTGAGGTTTCTTTTCTAAGGCCCCTCCCCCAGTGCAGTCAACCGTGGGGAACTTCTGGGCCCCTCTGCCCTGCCCTTCAGTGAGCAAGTCAGTGAGCCAAATCCTTGGAGGGGGTGGGGGAAGCCAGATCCTTTTTGTCTAGAAGTGGAAAGCAGGAATGTGGGGAGCTGACTAGAGAGAATGGGTTGGACTTTGCCGGCAGGCTGGGTCACCCCAACTCTGCCCATCCAGGCCCAGATCCTCTGTGCTGCAGTGTGACTCCACCTCTGCCTGAACACTCTGTTCTCTGCCCGGAATCATGAAATGACCAGGACCCTCACTGCTCCCCACGCAGGTGGGCAGAACCGAGGTTTCTGGACCCCTCAGATACACGTTATAGATATGTATGTGTGTGTGTATATATATATATTTATATAGAGGTTGTATATAGAATATATCTGTATATACGGTAGATGTGTGTGCGTGACAGTCTAGATGGTGAAGTGGAGACCTGCATGCTGGTCGGGCAGATAGAAACGGGGCAGGCTTATTTCCAGAGCGATTCATACACCTGTCCCTGCTTCCCGCCAGATGCTCAGCTGGGTCTCTCTCTAACAGTGAGTAGAAAAGCTAACAAGAGTGGGCCCGGCTCTGCAAGGAGGAAGGGTCCCCTGTCTGCCCGCCATGCTGGGGTCAGCATCCAGGCAGCCAGCGCCACCTCCCAGCAGCTCCAGGGGGACTGCGGCCACGGTGGAGGCTTCCTTCCAGGATGAGTCAGGGTTCCTCCAGCTTCCTTGGCACCCAGATATGGAGGGTCAAGGACGGTCTTCAGAACTTGGCCTTCTGCTCAAAGTGCTGCCAGGGAGCGGGTGGGGGGGGGGAGGGTCCTATGGCCCCGAAGAGGGCAGCGTGGCTGGAGGGCTGTGGACAAGATAGGAGATGGAGGTAATAGGTTACAAGGGGCAGCGACCAGGGACTTGGGGGCAGGGAGAGAGATCGGGGGATGGCAAGGCAGGGTACTTTCTGCTGAGAGACTCAGCAGAAAGCACCCATTAGACCCAAATTCCAGTCCCCTTCTGCTGCGAACCTACTGTGTGACCTCAGGCATGTCTCTTGACCTACTGGAGCCCCAGATCTTTTTCTCTAAAATGTGAATAATGTCTGCCTTGCCTACCTGCATGAGAATCAAGTGACATAAACTGTGTAAAAAAGTGTTTCACAAACCGCACAGCACCACAATGTGAGCTCTTCTGTTACTCCTGAAATGTGGTGCTTTCGGTCCGGCCTGTCTTGTCCTTCCTCTGGCCACCCATCCCTATCCTCTGTACACACATCGCCACTGCACTGACCGCCACAGCTCCCCCAACCTCCCACTCCTCCGCCCACACAAAGACACACACACCCTGAAGCAGAGACAGTTCAATAAACTGTGGCACCTGGCCCATCGCTGCTTCCGTGACAAGAGAAGTTGGACAGGGGCCTGCTAGAGCTCTGCCCTGTAACTCCACCCCACCCTCTGAGCCCATCTGGACCCTGGCAGTAGGGTGGGTCTGCAGGCTAGGGCCAGAGAGACACACCTTCTTGGGGGCCCACACCCGAGCCCCTGGGAGACCAGGGGTTGGGGTAGAGGGTGTACAGGAATGAGGGGACAATCCCACGACGCGACAGCTGGGGAGTGATGCCTGTGTGAGTGTGCTCAGGCCCAGACGGGAGGCAGCTGGGCCCCAGGCAGTTCCCATTATAGCCCAACTCCATTCAGTCCACAAGGAGCAGAAAAGGGCGGATGAGGTTTCGGCAGCTTCTTAACACTTGGGGTTTGGCGAGATCTAAGTCCCTGAGGTCCAGCTGGGGCAAGAGAGGGGAGGGACGGGGCGTTGTGTTGGGGAACATTGCCCATGTGTTTCTGATTCACTGGGGCTTGCGCCCAGCCAGCTCTCTCTCTAGTCCCTCTAGGCCCCTGTAAAAAAGCCCTTTTCTCTAGGAGCAGGAAGTCTTTTCTCCTGGCTGTAAACAAACTCATCTTTGGTGGCAGAGTCTGCCTGGGGAGTGGGGTGGGAGGGTAAGCCCCCCACTCCCCACTCTCCTTCCCTCCCACTGGCTCCTCCCTGGCCCTTCTGGGAGACAGCTGGAGCAGGGGGTAACCCTGGCTCTCCAGGCTCTGCCAGAGCCCTCGTCTGGCAGGTAAAAATCTGCTTGCTTCCTGTCCACTCCGGGGTCTGGGCAGGCCAGGGCCCAGCTGTGCACATCTGGAGTTGTCCTCGCTGCAGCCAGCAGTTCCTGAGGACTCCGCTCTCCTGGGGTGGTGCTGACGCGGGGGAAGGGAGCAGGAGCAAGCTCAGGGACAGTGTGGTCAGCAGCAGGAAGGGCAGCAGGCCTGCCCCCACCCTCCACTGCCCCCTGCCGCCCTCAAGGGACCTCCTGCACGGAGCTGGACCTCCTGCACAGAGCTGGACCTAGAGGCCTGTGAGCAGGAGGTCCGGCAGGCTTGGGGGCCAGCGCAGAGCCTGGAGAGGAGACGCTGCCTTTTCCATGGGAAACTGCTGGGAATGTTTCTCTACAACACGTGTCCTGAGCCGCTGGCTGACCCCTGGTTCCCATTCCCGCCTCCGCTCCTCTCTCCTTCCTACTCCAGCCCTGCCTCCGCCCCTCCATTCAGCTCCCAAAGTCAGCCACCCCTTGGGGGCCCAGGGAGGCCAGAATGTTCCCAGCCGCCACGTCTGAGGGCTAGCCCTCCCTGCGTGCTCCGAGCCAACTGCAGTCACTGAGGCTGGCCACCCTCCTTGAGTCAAGCCGTCTCCTGGGCCCAAAACTGGGAGCCTGGCTGCCGGGTCAGCCTGGAAGTAAACATCCCTCCACTAGCATGCGTGTGAATGACACCCACGTAGGTCCCGTGTGGATGGGGCATGTGTGTGCATTGTGCACGTCCTTGTGATCCTCCTGGCTCCAGCCTTGGTTGAGTCAAAGGGTGGATGGAAGCACTGGTCAGCAGTAAATGAAAAAACAGCCCCATGTGACCGGTACCAGGGAGGAAGTGGCCGGAGCTGGCCTGGGCTGCCTCTGATTTTGATGAGCCAACCTTCCCAACCTTCCGCCGGGACCCTGTGGTGCCTCTGTCCAGGTAGCTGTGGCCTTGGGTGCTCTGAGTGCCCCTTGCTCTGGGGAAAGGGGGGTTCTGCCCAAGGAGGATTTGCTCAGGGCTCACAGCCCTGGGCAGTAGCAGGCCTGAAGTCAGAGGGGAGCCTTCTCGAAGGCTGGTTCCTATTGCGCCTGTTTTTAAATGTCAGACCCCAAAGTTGGCCTGCCCAAAGTGTTCCTACCCCAGCTGTCATTCCCCAGGCCCCAGGAGAGATGGAAGACCTAGGGGACAGGAGAGGACATGGCAGAGATGCTGCCCGGCCCACCCTCACCCGCCTCCTCACGTGGTGGCGTTGGGGACCTGCTGTACCCAGCCCACTTCCTTGTAGGCAGCAGTCACATGGCTGTAGATGAGGCCTCGCACTTTGGCCCAGGCTCTCTGCGTCTCAGGTGGGAAGTCATTGGCAAATTCCTCGGCGATCACTTCCAGAATGACCCCAGAAAGGATCTGGGAACAAAGAGAGGAAGGGGGAGTGAACGCCTGGGTGCCTTGCCTCCCGTAGCCCTCTAGTCCCCTTCTGTCCCACATTTGGCCAAGGAGATTGTTCATAACAAAACAGCCTGGCAGCTTTGGGAACTTGACGTTCTCAAGACAAGGGCTGCCCTGGACCCAGCCCCTCTCTGTTACAGCCACTCCAGGGGAAGAGGCTGGGCCAGCCCACCAGTCACCTCTGCTGCCCCAGGGAGCCTTCCCAGAGCCTGCAAGCTGCAGGTGGCTGTGTCGCATGGACCCTGGGGAGCTCTGGAGCAGAGTGGGGGTGCTGAGGGGGAAAGCACCCGTGCAGCAGCATACCTTGAAGTACACGGGCTCCACCTTGTGCTTGAGGGCGTGGGCTTTGCCCACGAGGGCAAGCACCGACGACACCTTGTCGGGGTCATGCAGGTTCTCCACGACAGTGTTGAGGGCCCCCATGACCCGGCAGGCATGCTTCCGCAGCTGGGGGCTTCGCTCCATTTCCAGGGGCTCCTCCATGTGCTTGAACTGGCTGAAGTACTGCTTGGCTGAAGGGAAGTTCACAAAGAACCTGGCAGGCGGGAGGGGGTGGACACTGAAGCAGCGGCCACCTAGGGCCCCACCCTGAAGTGGCTGGGATGGTGGGAGAGGGCAGGGTCTGGAGAAGCACCCCACCCCAGTAATTGTTTACACCACCATAGGTTGCTGTCCCTCAAACACAGACCCTCTGGCCAAGCTGGCTCATGTGCAGCCCCTACCCAGGCCTTGCCATGTCTATTGGCCAGACTTGCTCAAGCCAGCAGCTTCCGCTCCCAGACCTCTGCCTTCCTGGCTTCTTGCCTCGTTTCCAAATCCTACACCCCTCAAGGCCCGTTCTGGTCACAGCTGAGAGGGCACAAGCTCACGTTCTGGAATCACAGGGCAGTGTGACTTTGGGCAAGTTATTCAACTTTTCTGAGCCTCAGTTTCCTCATCCATAAAATGGGCATCACTGTTCCTATCTCACGGGTTGTAGTGAGTATGAAATGAGAAACTGTGTGCTGTCAGCGCAGTGTACACACACACACACAGGGCTCAGCAAAGGCCGGCTAGTATTGTGATAAAGTTAGAGCTCTCCTTGTAACAAAGTGAGGCCTGAGTGACTTAGCTAAGGTCACTGAGCCAGTGAAGAGAAGGAATGAGACTCAGTCCTCCTTCTCCCGGCTCAGTCTCTTCCCTCCTCACTACCTGCTTCCCTCCTCGGCTTGCAGTAAACATTGATCGGTTGACTTAATTAAAAATGGCGATTGATTTTATCTGCCTGGCGTGGTTCTGTAATCACTTCATATCACTAAGTCTTACCTCCCCAACAAGCCTGTAAACTTCTTGGAGCAGACCCTGGGTCTTCCCAGCTCTAGCCCCTCCCCCCTCCAGATTATCTGGAATTGTCTAATGCCCTCAAAATACTGCTTTCGTCAGGTCACTCTCACGCTCGAAAACATTCAATGGCTCCCCATTGTCTAATAAAGTCAGACCTCCTTAACCAGGGAATTCCAGGCTACTTATAAACTGTCCTACACCAATTCTCCAGCTTCATGTCCACATTCTCCCCTATACTTGAGCCATCTCCATTCCGGCCCAACAGCTTCGCTTACCATTGGGTAAACACCCCTCAGGCGGGCCAGCCTTCCTTTCCATGCAGTGGGATGCCTTCCTGGCTCATTCCCCATGTCAGACTTGACTGTCCCTAAAGTGCCCAGGCTGGCCCTGGGCTACTGCTTTCCCCCCAAGACCACTAGTGCCACTCAGTCTGTCACCCTGCCACCCTAGTCTCTTGGACTGGATCCCAAACCCACAGGCAAAGGCCAGGTCTCATACACCCTGTCACCCATCATCCTGACCCGGATCCCTGCAGTGTACAGAATGACAATGACATTTGCATCTCCTCTCCCAACCAGAGCTGGACATCATATGAGACATACGCATAGACTCAATCAGAACTTACATAACTTGATTGAGTTCTCAGAAAATGTACCATGAAGTGTCTTGGACCTGTTTCTCAGGTTGTTTCACACTTTTGGTGTGTTCCCCTTTGTGATCAGACAGCTGATAATTTGTCAAACCCTTTGACTGCGGGTCGAGTCTCAGATGTGTCGGAACAGATGTGGAGAGAGCATCTGGCCGGGCCATCCCTTCTGGCGATGAAGCTGCTATCAGCTGGTGAGGTTCGGACAGTGACCAGGGCACATCCATGTGGAGACCCAGGAGGGCCCCCCTCAGAGGCAAAGTGTGACCCTGGGCAAACCACTTCACAACCCCCCTGTGTGCAGAAGGGTGAGAGGAGTCTACCATGCCCACTGCCGCACAGACACACGGGTGGGAACAAATGGGCAACGGGTCTGAAAATACGCTGGATTTTTCTGGAGAAGCACTGCAATGAGGGGCAAACATGAAAAACCCAATCTGGAGTTAAACGAACGTCTCAGATTTTGGGGGTTTTTACAATTGCAATAAAAATAATGACATATATTTGCCCGGTGTGTTACAATTTGAAAAGCAGCTATGTTATTGTATTTAATTGCCATAATTAAGAAGGTATTATATTCATCTTACTGATGAGGGGACATTTATCAAGCACTTACTGTATGGTCTCACTAATCTTTGCAATACCCTCCTGTTTTTATCCCCATTTTATGGATTAGGGACAGACGCCCGAGGTCACCCAGCAAAGTAAATGGCAGCACCAGGAAGGGGCCCAGGCAGTCCCTGCTTTGACAGCTTTCCCCATACTGCCTAGAGAGACTGATGTGCCAGGGGGACAGTGGCCTGAGACCCAGGTGAGTCTCCTGCCTCAACACCTAGCGCCAGATTATGGCTCTGAGAAATGACAGTCCCAGGCACCCCCGGCCCAGAGCCCTGCTTCTGGGTCCGGGGATTCTAGGGGCCATGTGCTCTGTTCCTTCATCCCGACTTCTCTCCTCAGCCCCTCCGTGTTTCCTCCTGACCCTCCCAGTCTCAGCCTGTGCTGCCGGGGAGAAGCCTCAGCAGCCAGCCTTGGGGAGTTTCTCAGCTTCCAGAGGCATCTGGGCTTCCAAGAGAGCCTGAAATAGGCTTGTCTGAGTGAGGAGGAAGGTGTCAGAGTTACAACCAGGAGGGAGGGTGGGCGTTCCCTCTTGGTCTCCTCCCTGGCAGGGAGTGGAAGTGTGGGGTCCACCTCAGACCCCCACAAGCCTGCTAACGTCTCACGGGCTGATAAGGGCTGAGGGCACTGGCCTGGTCCAGTGGGGAGGGAGGCGGTGGCAGTGATGGGTCAGAGGGTCAGTGTTGCAGGCTCTGACTGGGCCTCGTCCCTGGGATGTGTGTTGTGGGTGGAAAGACGGGGCATTGTGACAAGACTGATGGGTACAGGATATGGAGAGAGGCCTTTGTGAGCCTGAGAAGCTAATGGGTCTTGCTTTTACCCCCTTTCTACCCCTTCCCCACCAGCCAGGCCCTGGGGCAGACAGCAGGAGGAGAAGGGAAAAGGAGAGAAAAGCCAGTGGGACTTGGGGCCAGCAGGGAGTGGCTGAGACAGTGCCAGGCCAGGTTGTGGGGGGAAGGGATGCTGGAGAGAGCCAGGCTGGAGGGGGAGTGTGGCAAGGGGTTATCAGCAAGCCAGATCCAATTGCTATCTCAGGTCTTCTCAGATTAATCGTGGGCCTTTCTCTGAATACAAAGAACAGCGGTAAATACCTCCCCCAGCCCAGGCCCAGCCTCCTCTAAGAGTCAGGAATGGGAAGCTAAAAGGGGGGTGTAGAGAGAAATAAAAGCTGGCCAGAGCTCAGACTATCCAGAGACAGCAGCCCTGCCATTTAATTCCTTCCTCTGCACCCCCACCCCCCACGGAGGTTTGGTGGCACTCAGGAGATGGACTGTGGACATATACCCTACGTGTTCTCACTGGTACATGGTAGGGGTTGGGACAGAAAATCTCCAAGTTCCTGTGGACCCAGCCATTTCCTCTTGGTGACCTGTGTGTGCACCCGGATGCATCCCGAGCCCTGGTGGGCCTGTGCGTGAGATGCATGGCTGAGAGCGGCCCTCTGAGAATGCAGTCTGGCGCATCTGTGACTCCGCTACCCACTGTGTGCTTGTGTGGGTGCTCGCACGTGGGGATCTTCGTCTCTGAGTGTCTGAGGTTTTAGGATCCCAATCCCCCTCTTAGCTTCCCGCCACCCCCAGCTGTGTTTCTGGGCCCAGTAGCTGCTGAAATAGCTGTCCTTTCCATAGGAATGCTCTTCTAACTCCTCAAAAGAGCTTCTTGCTCTTTTTCCTCCAAAACCTGTTTCTAAGTTGGAATCAAGGCATATCAATATGGAGCTGGGTAGGACCCAGGCTTGGGGGAGGCAGAAGGGAGAGAATAAGGGGGAGAAGAGGAGCCAGAGACCAGCCGGGACTAGGAGACAGGAATGTACTAAAGCGAGCTTTTGCCCCATCCTCACATAACGAGACTGCCCTTCTCGGTCCTTGGTCCTCGATTTACAGCTTCCCCTTGCCAAGGACAGGGGGTTGAGGGTGAATGTGGTCTGGGCTCTCTCCGCCTGCACCCCCAAGGGCCAGCAAGTGTGGGAAGAGAGCATCGATTTGTAGCTATAATCAGTTACTAGTTTGTGTGGCTTGGGGATGTCAACTTCATAAGAACGGTGTGTGTGCACTTGTGTAGGTGTGTGAATAGCAGTGTCACTCTGTGTTTGTGGGTCCCTTAGGGGCATGTCGTGCCTGAATGACCCCTGAGCCCAAGACACTGCATTTCCTCCCTAGGTGGTGGGTTTCAGGACTGGACCCTGTCTCCTGAAGCTTCTCTCCTCACACCCCCACGCCACCAAACTCAGCAGGGATTGTATCCTGGGGGACGGTTTGCTTCTATACTCACCTGTGCCTCACCTAGGAGATCCCTGCTGGCCCATTCCTTTGGGGCAGGAAGGGAGCAGCTGGGAAAACTAGATCTTAGGGTGTCTATTCCTTCTGACCTCTATGCTCTGTTTTTCCAAGAAGACTTTGAATAAAGAAAGGAGCTGAGCTGGAGAAAGGGGTCTGCTCCTCTTTGTCCCCCTTCTCGGTTGAGCCTCAGTTTTTCCATCTCTAAAATGGGGAGCCCCCACTGCCCTCTTTGAAAGGCTGATAAAATGTGTGTGCCTAACAGCTTGGCTGGGTGGCTGGGGTCGCCGGTGAGGAAGGCACGCTGGCTGAGCGAGGATTCTGAGGTGGGGAGAGGGGGGGATCGAGGCGCCCTCCTGTGTCTGGCTCCTAGTTCCTGGTAAGCCCCGCACCCGGAGCCAGGAAGGGCTCAGACAAGGTTTCACCCACCCAAGACGCCCCACGCTGCCCGCGCCCCAACCAGCCCCAGTCCGGCTCCAATTGCAGCTGCGGAGGTGGCGCCGGAGCTCGGACCCGGGCCGAGCCCGCCTCTGCCGGAGCCGCTGCCGCCCTCCTTGCCCTGGGCCCAGCCGGGCCGGGGCGACACCTACCTGACCAGGATGGCCACCCCCACGTCCTCGCAGTTGGCATAGACCCGGGCCCACGTAGCCTGCACCGCCTTCCTCTCCGCCTCGGACAGCTCCTCGTTCCGCTCCCTGCGCTCAATCTCCATCTCGCCCGGCACTTTCTCCATAAGCAGCTCCAAGCCCAGCCCGCTTCGCTCGGCGGCGGCGGGGCGCGGGGAGCGGGGCGCCAGGAGCCGGGGCCGGCTGCGTGCGCGGCGGGCGGGCGAGGGGCAGAGCGCAGG